TTCTTTTCTGTAATCACTCGTTATTCATATCATTTGTACTACTGAAGAAGGAGTCGGTTTAGACTTCGAAACGTTTAGCAGTTGTAAATAAATTTATAAAATAAAATAAAATTCTACGAGAAAAAAAGAAATTAAATTTAAATGTGATTTCCTTATCATATTATCAACAGAATTAACACTACCTCGCATCAAATTTATATTACACATTCTTGTATTGTGGTCACAAAATTAATTTTGTATTTTTCGACAGAACTATCGAAAAATCTAAAACTTTTTAGTTTAGAATACTATAATTGTATATTTTTCCGCTTGTATTCTGACAGAATAAAGCTTATATCAATAATATAGCCTATTTTGTCTAGACAAAGAATACAGTGAATACTTGAAAACGTTTACCAATTTATAAAAAGTCTACTGGAGACAGTAAAAACCTAAGAGTTAAAAAATAGTATTATCATGTATCAGTTCAGAAAAAAGGTGTTGTCGCGTTGTCGCATTATCACGTTTTTGATTTAGATTACATGCCATACTATAAATTTTTTAGAGGAAGCTTTCACATATTCTATTGAGTTCAAGAGAAAAATGCAGACTTAAGTCCCAATTATGGATTTTCAGAGTACATTTAAATCCACATAAGTCCCTAAAACAGTTCAGGAATTTACAGGCAGTTTTATGGATCTACGTAGATTTACGTAGACTTTTAGAAACTTACATTACAAATCCATATCAATTCATTGGATTCCAGACTCGAATAGCAAAAAACAACATTAAAAGTCCATTTAAGTCCAAGTTGATGTAAATCAATTAAAATCCATAAAAGTTTAAAAGTCCAAAGTCTGCCTTTTATACTTGATTAAACCTCTTTCCGTGTTGTAAAAACGCTTTTCTTAGGATTTTTCTACCGAAAACAACTCTTTTGAATACTTTGGGAAAAAAACATGAGATTCGTTAAAAAACAGAGCACCTTTTGAAATTATTCAACAATAATAGTTTTGTGGGGTTTGAAGAGGTAAGAAAATATTATGAGGAGAAAGAGTATTCAATTATTGCCTCGTGACGTGGAACACAGTGATGCGTGCGACTCACTTTAACCAGTGTCTGACAGTTTCGAAATCAAATCATTTCTTAGCTGCTTATTTTACATAAACTTTCATCTGTTTTACATTTCTACTCTATTCTATTTATACATTATTAACCATTTATTCAACTTTTCACGCATTACTTCAATCAGTTAGTATCAATTTTTATATATCATTCTTGTTTTTCAAAAGTTCTACTTGTTCCCAAAGATCAAGTACACACATTAATTGAGTAAGTATATTACCATCACTTTTTGTTACAATCAGCCATGGAGAATGGTTCTACTCAAAACCTGCACTGATACTAGACAGTGATAGATCAAAAACTCTCACAAAAATTAATTTATAATAGGATTCTTACTTTATGCTTTCTTATTCATGAATCAACTTTTCCAGTTAATATGTTTCTATAGTAAATTATTATATACTGTGAGAGAAAATCTTCAAAAATGAACGAACGAAAGAAAGAGGAAAAAAGTAGAAAGAATGGTAGCACCGAACATTAATAGTAAAGAAAAATGTGAGATTATATTACATTTGAAGGCTAAACATGTTCATTACACACCCGAATACGTTCACAGAAAAGAAGAGAGACTAATGAAATAACTTTTTTTGTTTTCCTGACATTGTAGAAACACTCACTATGGACGATGTGCATGTGGGAAAATATATCGTATTATTTTAAGAAAATAGATACTATGACATTTTATTAGCTATTATAAAATATAATAAAATAATACATCACTAATTTTACGTTAATTTGACGTGTGTGTATATCAGTGATGAACTTCAAATAGAAAAAAGTCTGAAATCACTATTCAGGAAAGGACTAGATGGCCTTAAGAGACACTTTAAGTAAGTATTCTCTTTTCTGTCCGACTAGTTCTCGAATATATGGATTGTAGAAGAAAACCCTATAAGAATTTTGAGAAATCTGTTGATTTTTTTTAATGTAACATTCACAAAGTATAAAGTCATAGTATCTATGAGCCGTCAACTAAGCTGACTCTAATTAACACCTGTACACATATGTATGGCGTATGTACTCTAGTCTTTTGAGTTAAATCGACAATTTATTGTTATTTCTTGATCGTGTGTAAATCGGCATTTGAGCAGTAGAAAGAATAACGAATGACAAATGCTGAATGATAATATGGAATAAAGTTAATAATTACACGACATTTCAATCTGATTTATTATCAGTGAAAACGAGTTTTTACTTCCGCAAATTTCTAGAAAAGCCTTCAAAAAACCGAATTATTCTCTGTTAATTTTTAAAACTTCTGCTAAGTTTCGCAGGATAGTGCAAACCTAGTGGTGGTATATTTACGGTAGACAAATCGAGGCTTTATCCGCTATTTTGAAAAAAGAAGAGAAAAGAGAAAAGCTAACTTTCCGGCTAAAATGTCCCGTCATGCTTTTTTCGAGTTTTTTCGATATAAAAATATCAAACCGAAAGCAAATTCTACCTTTTTTACACATGGATCGAAAGTTCTCGACGAGACGGATCTAACTACATAGTTAACCATCCCAATCCACATAAACGACAGCATATTTAGACCAAGTTTACCATATTTTAGTTGCGATTTTTGAATAAAATCAAAAGGATATTGGAGTACTCCTATACTCTTTTATTTCTTATTTAAAAGTAATTTTACCTCGCGCACAGTTTGACTTTTAACGTAACAACAACTTTCATTATTTCTTATGATTTAGTCTTTCTTGAAACAGCTTTGACATAGCACATCCCGCCCAGCCACTTCCTTGTGTTTTTCAATTCAGTGTGATTATTACATCCGGCAATAGATACAGTCACGTGTAATGAACCGGCATAATCATCAGCAAGCCATAAGAGATCAGAATTAAGAGCAAGCATATTCATATTCATTCTTTTACGTATCCACTCACCACTCACGGACAAAACATTTTCAGCTACGAAGTACCTATTGCCGTCATGCCAGTGCGACGTAGTTTCCTCAACGTCATATCATCTGCTCTGTCGATTCAAGTCACAGACCAGGCTGCATACGTTACTTCACAGGCGCTATAGTCAGTCGCACGTGAGGAAATGAGCCAAATGCGTATGTGTATAATAAAACTAATGATAGATATAAACGATGATCGGGCTCAATGATCGTACGTAATATTGATGATTCGGTTAAATAATACTGAAAAAACAAGTTACATAAAATAACGATATAATTTTCATCAATAAAAAGATTTACTTTAAGAATTTGACAAGCTTCCAGTATATTTTTGCCATAATTAGCACGAAACATGGACAATTCACAAATAAAATGCGAATAATTTTCCAACATTTTGGATTCTGATAAAAAATTTTCATAAATCGAAATAAAATCGTTCCATTTAGACATAAATCAAATACTTAAAAAAAAATGATATACATCAAAATATCTTATTTTAACTACCTAAACATATAGACACTTACAGTTCAAAATAATTCATAACTTTGACAGTTTTTTAATGCTGCTGAACATAACAGTTGAATTTCAATATCGGACATTTTTAAACTTGAAAATTCCAGATAGAAACACCATAATTCACTGCTTGTTCGATTCGATTCATCATTAGTTTGGGGTTGTCTATGACCAAAAAGCAGTTTCGGCTCTACTGAGTGTACACCCCATGTGTATTCAAGAAAGAAATTGAAGACCAAGAATGGAAAAAACAAATCTTGATCAAGCAGAAATCACGATGATTGGGATAATTGCGAATAAACTTATCAAGGCTCTCACTTTCTCTTCCTCTCGCCGACCACACATACAACAAATACTTTTTTCCTGTTGTCTTGCTGCCCTTCCCTCCCTATTAAGTCATACGTGTGTGAGGCCAAGACAGGGCCGAGCTTATCTTTTTTCATAAATCCCAGGATTTATTTTTCACAAGCTCTTAAGTGCCGACAGTTTGTTGTGTGTGCTCCGAAGTCTTGACACAGTGGATCTGGCTAGGCCTCATATCTCAATATATGAACAGATTTTTAGTGTTTTACACTATTGCTTTAATTGTAGATATAACTTTTTCTATGGGTGGAATTTTGCATCCTCTCTCCTGTGATGGACGTATGTAACTGTTGTATGGAAATCTTTCATACAACGGAAACATTCATAAGTCTAATAAACATAATAAAGTAGCGGCAGTAATTTTCATTTTATTGGAAAACTTTATAATTAAATTAAAACCAAGCATGTTATCGAAACCGGACGAAAATCGGCGGTTAACCACGGTTATTTCAGCTGAAATCATAGCAACACAACAAAAAAACCGACGGTTAACCTCACAATTAACTGGAAAAACGGTCGGTACCGGCCGTCGGAACCGTGCATTTTTCTGGATAATTGTGGGGTTAGCCGTCGGTTTTTCTGCTGTGTTGCTATGGTTTCAACTGGAATAACCGTGGTTAATCGTCGGTTCTTAAAATAATCGTGGTTAACCGCCGGTTTTCGTCCAGTTTCGACAACATAGGCAAATATTTCAACGTTTCGAACTATAGAAATTCATTTTCAAGAATAAATACAGAAACGTGTCACTAGTTATGGTTAGATGATTAGTTATGATCCATGCAGAACTAGGCCTAATGCACAATGTCCCATCATCATTTTCATAAATATAAGAGTGGGCTAACGGTTTTTATAAGAATTATGACAAGTTGTAGGTTAACAACGAGATCTCAGCTGTGTGAGGAGTAGCCATTTACGATTACACAGGCAGGAAATTTTTGCAATTGATTTCGAAATGTGAAGTAAAGTCGCTGCCGTACACCAACAAGAAATATTCAACTACGAGCTTGATGCAAGTTTTGTAAACGTGGAGTAAAATGGATGGTAGCGCGGCACCAAATATCAGCGTTGAGCGCCATTTGCATATCAAATATATGCTTGAACCATGGTCCCAATTTCTCTAGGAGAAATTATTTATCAGTGTCTAGAATACTCCATCAACTTTATCGAAAGGTCCTTATCCCCAACAATATATCGGAATTTCAAGGTTTGAGAAAAGCTTCGAAATAGTCGAAGGCAACACTATATTTTCCGAGTTTCAAAGCGTTTCTGAAAAAAGTACGTTTATTACCTCTTTTCTAACAAAATTAACAGTTTGGCGTTTTGTTGAGACTTTTAGAAAATTCGGTAATGGATAAGGCTATCGTGATAATGATGTGCCTTTAAATGTTCAATTTACTATTGTACCAAGTTTTGTTTTTGGCAATGTTAATTCTTGGAGGTGTCAGAATGGCATAGAACAAACTATTGTACATTTTCGAACATGTAATATCTTAGTAATGACATTTTCTCACCTCTCACACTTATTCTCTTCTATTGATTCATAATTTGTAGATATGTTTTGTTTACTATTTTTATTTTTCTTACAAATACAATCCCTTTTTGTATTTTGGCTTACATATAGTTTAAGATGCACCTATTGCCAACTCGATCATTTCATTCTCATTAGCGTATTGGTAAAGCTTTAAATTTTTCTCTATTTTCGAGACTATTATTTGTTTCATTTATAGTAAAGCTGTGTACAAACGTGTGGTGATTAAACAATAAAAACGGGGCTCTTATTTTTCTATTTATCATTTCTTCTCTTTCGTTAGACACTAGTTAACGATGTAACCACAGCCGTAAAAATGGTAATATTTATTGTTTCTCTATTGTACGATAGTCATACAAGTCTCGTGGTCGATTCTATTAAATATGTTCTCTTATTAATAAGTTTTATTAAAATTCATTTTTCGTGTGATATCTACTTATTTAATAAATGTCCATTTCCTCCCTATCATGTGACAGTCGACGTTGAATTTTTTTGTCATGAAGCTAAAAAACATGTAGACTGTGTTAATCGACGATTGAGAGATTGTAAAATTGTTCAAGAATATGGACCAGCATTAGGTAACAGACGAACGAGCGAGTATGACTTAAACAAACATTTTTTGTAACTTTGTATCGTTATTAAATTTAGATACTCTGAAAGCCACTTTAAAAGTTGATTTAACTCGTGCTAGTGCTCACGGATGTCACGGTCTTTATGATCAAATTCAAATTCCTCGAATGCAACGTCGTCGACGAACAACAACTCGTAAAATTCGTCGTTTAACAGTAGGCAGTATTCCATATCGGAAAAGTATTGAATATCGATGTAAACATGACACGATCGACGAAGGTTGTGGTCAATGGAATTCGACAATGGATCAGGTTGTAAATTGGTATCATTGTCAACACGCTGTTCGATTTGATAAATGTATTGAACCCTTAAAAATTATTTGCCAAAATACCATCGCTAATTTAACAGCGCGTGTACAATTAATTTTAAAACGATGTCAAAAGGCAGCGGCAGCAGCAAAGAGAAATCGAAGTTTAACAATTTTCAATTACAATAAAAATAATATCATCATTTCTACTTTGTTTGTGTCACTATTTGTTCTTATAAAATAGTTTATTTTATATGTCGAAGAAAAACAGATTAAAACTGTCTTCACAAAGAGTATACCAAAAATAGATTTATACTTAGAGACATAAATATTTAAATATTTCTGCTGACCTGATCTACTTCTGATCAGTCGTATATGGTTCTACACAAAATAACAAGATAATAATAACAGCGATGAAACAAGACACCCACTCAAAATAGTTATCACACATCAATAACGTGGACAAAAATTACGAAGGTTAATAATATTGTTCGTTTGTACTTTGTTTCCTAGCGTTGAGACTACTTAGTAAATCGTGCGTCAGAACTCGACTAAGGAAGATTTACATTGTCTTATTTACGTCTGAATGATCTTTATAGCAGTTTTAAAGCTTCTCATGAGCTTAATCTCGGCCTGAAAATTATGCGAACTATTTTCAATTTATAAACCAAGGAAAGAGCCTATGTTCTCTAAATATTCAGTGTACTTTAACGATACTATTCGTTTTTTGTTTTTCAGATTTTTTAAAATAATACTGCTCTTAGATAATTTTTCAAAAAAGCACTGATAAGGCACGGGAAAGTCTGAACTTAAAATGTCAAACCAAAAATGCTTGCTTCTGAATAAAAGGAGCAGACTTACGTGTTTCAAATATAACGTGGTAGCAACGATAAAATTTCACGTTTTTCTTAATCATTTCTTTTTCCTTATATGTATATTCTACTGAACTGGGACATGAATTATAACTAGGACACTCAGTGCTACGTCTCAGGTAGGAAACATAAGCTAACTTCTCTCCTTTTCCTAAGCACAACTGCCTTTTTAGCTTTTAATGAAGGAAGCTTTCGGAAAACTTCACTATCCGCTCAAACATACAACCGAAGGAATTTACTACACCCAAAACTTTACTACAACTAAAATTAATGTGAAAATTTGGTAAATTTGAAGCATCCCTATACACTCGAGTCGAAATTAGCGTATCACGGAGCCTAGACTAGTTACAGATGTCCCGCAAAAGTTTAGTTATATGTAAAACATGCTGACAATCCGAGTAGAGGTGTTAGCCACGTCGCTGCCGTTGCCGTTGAAAGAAAATTTTAAAAATTTACGCCGCCGCTAAGGGCAGAAATATTTTTTTCAATTTTTCGCCACCACCGCTGATAAAGTTTTCAATTTCAGCCACCGCTGCCAATATAGTAATCGGCTAACACCTCTATCTACAACACGCATATAACAGGATAGAGAGGGAAACCTGAAAAACTCGAAAACGTTACCATAATGAAAATTTCTCAAGAAAACTGTTCTTTTCCGTTTTCCTACAAAAGGGAAATTCCCAACGTATTCTCAAAAAACTAACTTATGTTAGCTTGTGCGAGATCTCTTAAATGAGTAATTTCTGTTCAGAATGATGTGCTATGTTTTCAAGTGTGGAAAACCGCATAGCAGAGAACAACAAAACATATTGTGAGTGTGAAAACAGCAGGGTTTTTCATTTCACAAGTTGACAGTCATTAGTTTAATTTTCATTCATCACATTAAGTATTACTTGCCTGAAACCAAAATAACCAGTTTGAAAAAGAGGGTGAGGGTAATGGTGAAAATTGAGTATCAAACTGCTACAAAAAACATGACGAGCTTTTTATACTAAATCTAATTTATTCTTGATTAACTTTCCAGCTTCCGATCTATATTCCACATGATCATCAGGAAAATGGTATGCATTTGAAAAAATAACAATATATACATAGTGTAAATGTGACTAGCAAAAATAGTAGCGAAACGAAAGAAAGAATATAATCTCTATTTGAAAAGAAGAAAAAGAAGAATATCATCGTCACTTAAATATATGATCGATCATACGATTAAGTGACGATGAAAATGAAAAACGACGTACGATAAAGGAAAGTGTATTTACACACACAAGCCATGGTATATCAAATTAATGATGTTAAACATAAACTTAAGATTTTCCGATGAAGTTCATGTATGTCCTTATCACAAGAGTGTAAATATTATATAATCACAAAAGAATGATTCTGCAAGATCTTGTGTACAAAATTCAATCACTAAAGATCTTAATCAAGATCTTGATACAAGAAGTCACGAAATTACAAGATGTTCAAGATCGTGACTTTTTGAGATTTCTTGAATTCTTACCTTTTTTTTATCAAGATCTTACTGAAAAACTTCAAGAAGTCAAGATCTACATTACAAGAAGTTCTATTACGGTATTTTCTATAAAACAAAACAGAGACCGTGGTTATTTTTCGAATAAGTGGTGAACAAAAATAACTAGAGAGTTCGGATTTTTACCATTCGAAAGAGAAGACTTGACAACATGTTTCTTAATAGAGATGTTAGCCACGCCGTTACCGTCGAAAAAAATTTTTAAAATTTCATGTGACCGCCGCCAAAGGCAGAGAATTACTTTTCAATTTTTCGTCGCCGTCGCTGATAAAATTTTCAGTTTCACACGCTGCCGCCGATATAGTAACCGACTAACACCTCTAAATCCGAGTATGCCAACGAAAAAAATCACAAATGTTTATTGTTTTAGAACTTCATCGCTGAAGAGCTCGGTTCGTCCACATTGTGTAGAGTAGCGATTGTCGTAACAACTACGATTTTTGAATAAACTTTCTTCAATTGAAAATGTCTAATTGTTTCTTCGCTTGATTAATACAGTTTGAGAAGATTTACTGCGTAAAAATTTTGAGAGAAATTATGTACTCTTTAAACGGCATGTGATCTCAAAAGCAGTACTAATAAATATTTGGATCAATCTCTCTCAAAAAGTCATTTTTTTCGAAATATTTGTTATATCTTCGACTTTTTCTGTTTTAAAGAGAATTTTTAAGGTTTTAAGTAAAAAGATGATTGAGTACAACTCTCACGATAATTAACAAGAACCGTAATTCAAATCTTTTTGCTCAATACATAAAGTGATACAGCCAAGATAAAAAGCATAATAATGTAGTATAATAGCGTTTCTTACCTTAGAAAACGTCGTGATCAGTGTTTGAGAAAAACAAAAACGACAGAGCAATATAGTGTTTTCATTAGAGGATTAGGTGCTTTTGCCGCGTCGCACCAGATTTGATGAAAATAAGATGATATATGCAGAATTTCTCGGTGAATCCGACTTGTAATTCTCGTTTGACTTCTTCTCTGACGTCGACGCAATCCACGTGATTTTTGCCTAAATTTTGGTTCTCTCATCGGCGCTTTTTTTCTTAACCAATCAGAGAACCAAAATTTAGACAAAAATCATGTGAATTGCGTCGACGTCAGAGAAGAAGTCAAACTAGAATTACAAGGAACCTGCTGTCGGATTCATCGAGAAATTCTGCATATATCATCTTATTTTCATCAAATTTGGTACAGCATGGCAAAAGCACCTAATTCCCTAAAAATTTACTTTGAATTATTTCCCTTTAAAATAATTCAAACAGTCAATTTCAATCGGATAACTTAAAGAGTAGTCGAAAAAAAAACTCGTTTACATTTCAAAATGTATAAATTAATCTCAAAAATCTATCAAAAAATACAACAAAAAAATAAATAAATAAAAGACATTTATAATATCTGACGAACAAAATATCAACAAAAAAAGCTAAATACAATCATAAGTGAGATGCAAAAATATCGCAAATAGTATGAGTCAAATTTATGATCGAGAAAAAAAGAAATTAGAAACTCAGTCATGAGTAGAGAAACAAAGTTAAATAATCAATCGGAATCTTCATCATCAGTCATTATGGTATCATTTGTTGCTGTTGTTATTGAACTTTCATTTAATTCATTCTCAGATGGATAATATGATGGATCGTCAGAAATTGAATCTAAACGAACTGTTTTCAGTCAAATACTTAATTTCAACACAATACTGACTGGTTTCGTCACTAGCTGACACAAAAGACTGAGACTTCTGTCACAGTTCATAGTGAGGTTTGATTCATATTCACTTTAAGGATCAATTGCGTGAAGAAAACCGTATTGAAGAAGTCTCATTCTTACCATTAAGATTACACGAGTCATTCGTAAACTGTCTGTTCTTATTTTTCATGTCATTTAAAATTCCTAGAACTGAAGAAAAAAAACTAAATTGACTACTCTTATTTGAAACTGTCAATACTTACATTTTTGTACATTTTTTTCGAGTAATTCATGTTTTTGATTAATTTCATTAATTAATCGTTGATTTTGTTTATAATAATTTTGATATCGAACACCAATGTAGGACCAGGTTAGAAATGAGATCAAAAGCCAACATTGACGGATACGCCATAATAAATTGAACAAATAATTCTACAAAACAATAAAAAATGAATGTATTTTTTGTTTACAAGCCGATTTAATGTCCTACTTGGGAATATGAATGATAGAATATCAAATATCGTTCAATAATAATCAAACAAATCAAATGTAAAATAAGCCAAAATCTAAAAATGAGAAAACATTTAAGAAAACACTGCTCAACAGTTAAAACAACTCGGCACAAGTTAATAGTCTTAAACCTCGAATCAGATGTTCTTCGCGGTACTGTAACAATATAAATACATATAAAAATTCCAGCATAAAATAAATACGAACTCCAACCAAAAAAATCAACATATAAGGATGCACGTATATTGAACAATGTTTCTAGAATCTAGAAAACATAGAAGTAAACTTTAGTTACTTTTATCCGTAAAGTAAACCTACAGTTTTTTCTATAGAAAAATATTTACTTTTATATTATACCTTTTGAATTAGTTCAATTTGATCTTTATCTCTTACAAATAATTTTTCTCTTAATAAGTCTACATTTTGATCAGCTGATTGTAAATATGTTTCAACGTTTAATGCATTTTTAAATAATTCATCATTCATCATTAATGTTTGATCTAGACTAGCTGACATTGTTTTCTGATCGTTTTTTAATTTTTCTGATGTATCAAGAACTTGTTGAGAAACCGTATGCAATTGAGCTGTTGTTTGTTTAACATTTTCATGCCATTGTTGATTTTCAATGAAATAACAAATACTTTGAACGTGTGGAAAAAAGTTTGTATAGGACAAATAGGCATGAGAGTTTAATGTTAAATTTTTTAAACATTTTGATACATTAATTGGTTCGGGGCAAATTTGTTGAGGATCAATACCAGTTGTTAGCAAATGACAAAATGTAAAATGTAAAGCGAGAGCCGTTTGAATGTGCAGTGGTAATGAGTTACATTTTAACGTATTATTTGAATGAAATATTTTTTCTAATGTACGAGAAAAACACGGCACATTATTGTTCTGTGAAATGAATAGATTGTCGTCAATAGAAAATACATTGATGATGAAGGAAAAAAGAATCACCAAACACTTCATAATAAAATTGTCTTTACAAAATTCTAATCAATGAAATTTCTAAAAAATCTCGTTTCAAATCGTTTTTTACACTCAAGACTAATATCCTATAAAAGAATTTTCGAATTAATCATTAAAAAAATTCCTTTGATTATGACATGAAAACATTGCAATTATAGCAAAAGCAAACGTTTGATTGGATGAAGATCAAAGCCAATAGAAGTTGTTCGGTCTTAAAATATGTTTAAAGCCTTTATCTTCCAGAAGATACGCGTCATTAATTGCTGTCACTAGCAGCTAATTTCAGCGCGATATAGGAGCTGGCTACTATTATTTCAAAAAGTTACGGTAAATGGGTGGAAATTTTACGAGCTACAGTTATGGTTAATACTTTTACTGTCGAAACATGTAAACTATAAATAGAACTGTAAACTCTTGCATAATTCAGTGTGTCATCTTGTCATTTCCTTAGATAATCCAACACTCCATATTCCTCTCTTCTCGTATTGGGACGAAATGCAGAAGATAATTGCACTGTAGATGGCACAAACAGGAAAAGTAAAGACGTATCATAATGTAAGTATGGTTTCACACTAATCTGAATTCTGATGGTGCTAGTCAGAAGACTGCCATTGGTATATGTATCTGATACTGTGATCAAGATACAGAGTCGCTTTCAAAGTTATTTGAATCGATTCAAGCGAAGTCAATATGAATATTAAATTAATAAATTAATGAAAATATCAACAGAAGTATCCCTAACACTTGGTGAAGTGTTGCTTGATTATCGAGAGATTTAAATTATCCATCTGGAGAAAAGAACCTAGGTTCAGGGATGAGAGTGAAAAATTGGAAATATCTACCAGATTTTTCAGGTGAGCGCGTAAAACTTTTCAGGTTTTTTCCAAAAAATTCAGAAGACCAAAAAACAGTTTCATTCGGCACATTGAGCAGTTCTTTTGTAACAGTGTTCATGGTGCTTCACTGATGGGTTTAAAACTATTTTTCAAAAGTTGAAACATAAGAAAATTTCTGAAGAAGTTGATCCGGTTATAACTCGAATTGGAGGTTATAGGGTTGGAGGTTATAACTCGAGTTGATAATTATAACTATTTCAATCTCAGTTTAAGCGTAGAATGATATTGTAAGCCGCAGCATCGTGTGAACGTTCATGCTGTCTAGTCAAGGATAAAATGAGCAATAATCGATCTTGTTCTATTAGTTTTCTTCTCTAAACTCGAAGTGAGTTGTCAATATCGTATTCATCTAAATCAGTATTTAATGAATTAAAAACAAAATTGACCAAATTTATTGTTATATTCTCGTTTTTTTCTTCATCAAACTCAATAAATCTTAAATAAAATGTGCGACTATTCTTGATCTTCTACCCTAACTCGTAACTCCTCAATACATACTGATAATGCATCTAGTTTATTTTGAATGACTTCCAGTCGTTGAAGATGAGTAGCTAATTTGTCATACACGATATCGCAAATTTTGTTCGCATTAGGCACTTGATCACTAACCGAAAACTTTGAGAATATTAGCTGGCATCACTTAATAAGTTTTCATCATTGATACAAATAAAGTTCTTATTTGGTAAGTGTTAAACTATTAGATGATGAACGAATCAATCTACCTGTTTGCTCTTGAACCATGTCTTAGAAACAACTGATTACTTAAGTATTAAGAATTATATACAAATATTAAGCTATATAGCTGCGAGATATATACAATAGGAGCTTTGCATGTGCAAAAGTTTTGGCACTAAAAACAAATTTGTTTCAACAGACAAACAATTTTTGTTTTCTTCCATTTTACAACCCTATTATGTGACGCAAAGGAAATAAAAATTTCATAAAATAAGAACGGAAAAAAATTAGAAGTACGATCAGCTGGAGCTATAACTATCAACCTAAGTTGATAGTTATAACTCCGGTTGATAGTGTTATAACTATCAACTTGGGTTGATCGTTATAACGCCGGTAGATAGTTATAACTATTTGAAATTTTTGACCAAAATTTAAATTAGTTATCACTAGTTCTAACTCCAGCAAGTTATAACTTAGGCTGTTTTAAACCCATCAGTGTGGTACTTTGCTATTCTGTTCTTGAATGATATAATATCCTTTTGAATTGAATTTTTTTTATCATTAACTTATGAGTTGAACCTCTTAAAACTAGCCTATCTTGTTCAGTTTTTTCTGCTCGTTCGATTCATGTGTAACTCGGATTTTTAGAATGAGAAATAGAACAAGAAAAAATTAAAATATGACAAAAATCTACTTTTTCGATTTTCGATTTTCAGATTTTGCCAAACATTTCAGGTATTTCAGATGAAATCTCTGCCCTGCAGGTTGTTCGTTGTCTTTTACTCAAATGTATACATAATAGTAAATTTTAGTTTTTCCGGTGCTTTCTCAAGTAAGTAGTCGGACGAAATCATTCCTAAAACGAGTTGTACATGATCTTTAGTTTTTTCTGTTATGGAGGTTCCATATCCGGACCATCTCAGTTCATATCATAATCAGATATTGGATAGAACATAGTGTGAATAAAGAATCGTGGCTATTCTGTATCGTAGTAAAGACAAACAGGACAATGATGATAAATCTAAAATTTTGTTGCGAAGGATTTCACTGATTTATCAGACTCATAAGGATCGTCGAACTCATACATAAATATTGATCAAAAGGCAGCTAACTCAATTTTGCAGATCAACAGCCAAGACCTGAATGCATCTTTTCACATGCAGAAGTTTTCTGAAATTGTTTCTCAAAAACCGTTTGTCAACAGGATCACTGGAAAACCATTTCATAACCCGAAAATTTAGCATAGAAATATATTAGTTTTTCTTCATGGATAATAGTTCAAAGTGTCCTCTTCAAAATGGAAACTAAGCGAACTCTTGATCTTTCCTGGCTCAGGCGTGGCATCGAATTTCCTGTTATTTACTTCATTTGATGCTATTTCAATTTGGTTCAGTTGTATGATATCAAGATCAATTTTGATTTTATTACTCGGCAACATGTATCAAACAAAAGCCTCATATAAGGCTGGCAGTTGTTTTTTGAATAACTCAAAGACAGTAAAAGATAGATACTTGTGGTTTTCAGCAATCGAAAGCGGACAGTTTAGCCTATATTTTCATAGGAAAAACCGTTTTCCGAAAACATTCAGAAGACCGATATTTCAGGAGATATTTGAAAAACCAGTTCAGATCCTCAGAAACACTAATCTATCAGTTTGTTTTCATAGGTATATGGTCCAAAATGTCCTCTCAAAAAAGGGAAACTAAGCGAGCTCTTTATTTTTCCTGGTTCAGGTGCAGAGTTTCCGATTGTTTTTAATAAAAGTGCGAAGATTTTTATGGCAGACAGTCCTTTTAAAACGTTGTTTCTTTCTAAACAAGTGAAGCAGTTGTAAAATGAAAAGAACTTATATTACTTCGTAGTGCGAAAGGGTAATAAAATGTTAGACAAATTTTCGGCAGAACTAAAATTTCAAAAACTAGCGGACAGTGCCGAAATTTAGGGCGGGGATGTCTCTCAATTCTGCACCCTATTCGGAAACCCTATTCAGGCGTGGCATCGGATTTCCTGAGCATCTCACACTCGATATTTCTTTAGGTGTGGTAATTCCGAAAACGAATAGAAGCATAGGTAATCGATCACACTGAATCTTGTGGCAACGTTTGTTTTTCAAAAAAGTTTCAGAAAGTAAAAACTTATATTAGTAAAAACCTATATTAGGTAAAATAACCCATTTTTGCCTATTTTTGTGTAAAATTAAGTCAAGATCCATCCAAATTATGTTAGATCATCCAGATGTACTCTGTTTTACTTGCTCAATACGATTTTTTACTTGAAAATAGTAAAAAATTCTTTTATTTCGGAAGATTTCTAGGAAACCTTTTCAAAAACTAAAGTATTTTCTGTTGTTAGCTAAAGCTATGATTGAACTGCATAGTATTGAACAAATAAAATAGAGTACATCTTGATATTCTGAAATAAGTTGAATGGATCTTGACTAGGTTATGCATTCTTTAGTTTTATTCAAAAATAGGCAAAAATGGGTTATTTCACCTAATATAGATTTTCACTAGGTTTCTGGAACTTTTTTGAAAAACAAATGTTGCTACGAGATTCAGCATGGTCGATTACCTATACTATCTCTATCTTTCACCGTCTTTGAGTTATTCAAAAAACAACTATCGGCCTTGCATTTTGAGATGGATGGATAATAGTTGACGACTATACGGGACGGCATGTTTATCCTCTTTACTCAAATTGGCAGACACCTGAGGTTTACACTTATATAGACCTCATTAGAATAAGATGGCTAATGATTAAGCATGGATATAAAGTACTATTAGGTCTGGAAAACAGCCAAATTTGGTGTGCTGTGTGCCACACCACTCTCGGAATAAGCGAATAGTTTAAAAATCCGAAGAGACAATCGTCTGTCTTTGGAAGAACTTTACAACACTCGTTTTGTCTATGAATCGTCCCTAAATTTTTTTGTTAAATGTTTGTATATATGCTAAGTCTTTTTATATAATACAAGATATATATATATATAAAAAAACGATAGTGTATAATTAACCACGAACTATCTTCACATAACAACTTTTAAATTAGTAGTAATAGTAGTCACATATTTCATTTAAAAAAAAAATCCATGGATGAATACCAGAATACAGAGTTTTTCAGATCCGTGCCCGTCGCAACAATTTTTTAAAAATTAAAACAAGCAAACAAACAAATAAAAAATATAACCGAAAAAGTGTTATTGTATGTAGTTGAAAACAGGAAAAAATATTTATCATAGAAAAGAAAAACGATAGACAGACAGAGAGAGAAAGAGAGAAGTTCTTGTTTTTTTGCCATACAATAATAATAATAATAATAATAATAATAAAACTAAAATATTCCACTGAATCATCATCTAATTGTTTAGGTATCTTTCAAAAATTCATCAACTTCATCGTCATCAAATTGGATATCATCCTAAAACACCAGGAATTGAGATTCAATGCAAAGACTAATATTCTGCTAGTTCAAGATATAAATAGTTTCTACATTTATTAGTCCTTACTACATCTAGATTAAGTCTAAAATTGGAAAAGGTTCAGCGTACTGAATAAAAAGTGAATGCATATTTGTTATTGAATTTTAATTTATTTATTCTTTAGTTATCTATTTAATGTGATAGATTTTACGTTTTAACGAATGACATTGGTCAAATTAAATCAAGATAGTCACATGTCTGCTGACGAAAGCTATCCGCTGATGTATTTCTTTAAACAAAACTTCGTATTTTTGTGGTCAAAGTGCCTTATCTCTACCTCTTATTAATTCAAATTGTCATTAATTGATTATTATTGAAAGTTAGCTACTCATTTTAAATCAGAAGATTTGACTGCAGTATTTTCTCAACACTTAATCACTATGTCCAATATTATCAATATTATTTTTGTCGTGAGTACTGCTCAACTTTGAGGAAACAAATGCTTCTACACAGATGAAATTCACTAGTCGTTCGAAGTGTATCTGACCGTAAATGTTCGAATTCTAGTAGATGACTTTGATAGTGCTTCCGGCATCATTCTTCAAAGTTACGACTGTGAATGAAAGACATCTCACTAACATCAGTTGATGCAAGATGACTTCTCTATTAATACTGAGATATCCTGTAAGTACTGGATGGTGCTCCCAGAAATCAAAGGACAAAATCTGATTGTACATCGTAAGATGATGCATGGGTAGATTATGTGAGACCTGGGCAGAGGCAAGTAAGACTTTGGCTTAGAAATCTAAACCCTGAACAGACATTTTTCGACTAGAAGGAAGAACGCAGACGTAGTAAAAAACAATTAGCCTAATATTATAGCCGTAGTGACTACAATGCATTTTAAAGAATTGCTTTACTTCTATCAGAGAACTATATCAAGCTATATAGGGACCGTCGATTCGTTTTTCTGGAAACTGTTAAAAAGCCAAGAAGACAGGAGAGATATCATTAAAAACTAATAAGATCAACAATTTGGGTTGCAATCAAAGAGCAAACTATATATGGAAGTCTACTTGAATAATGAAACAAGATGATAACCAATATCCAAAAACAAAACAAATAGAAAGAAATATACGTAGATGTGTAGTAATCTTGCGTGATCAGTTATATTTTTTCCATCCCAATGTAAAATTCAACCGATGTTGATACCTATATTTAAAACTTTTCACTCAATTGTTCTAAATTTAAATAATTAGCTCGCAGTTAAATTGCAACAAAAATCTGTCTCTATCGTTCTTCATTTGTGAGTATGCAACATTTGGAGTATTTACAAAATATGCCACTACTTACTAATAGTTTCGAACTGAAATCTGATACAATTAATAGTAGAGTTCGTCGAAGTGATTATACTAACATTGAATAATATTCAGATAAATACTTAGTAACAGGTACTAACAGTCGAAACTTAGCCCCTAGCACCCAAAAGCGACATGAGCTGCAAATTACTCAGCCCTCAACATTGGATTACGTTAAAATTGACTAAATTATAACGTTAGAGAGGTGTCGTTGTCGTGTTAAGTGTTCGTGGCTAGATTTCCGCTGTTAGTACCTGTTACTAAGTATTCATCTGAATATTATTCTGTGTTAGTATAATTAATTTGATGAACTCCACTATTAACTGTATCAGATTTCCATTCGAGGCTATTAGTGGGTGTTAGCATATTTTACAAATACTCCCAACGTTTGCTTATGAAATAAATCGATCCTTGTCTTTTTTAGAAAGCGAACTAATCTAAACCAAATATTTTTTTAACTTGCATTCGCCTACAAAAACATGACTCAATTCACTCAAAAGAACGTGCAAAAGTAGAGATGTAAGACGATTATTTTAGATTGAAGGTGAAGGCGAAAAGAGCTACCAATATCTGTCGAATATATAAAGAGACTTCAAGCATTTATCAGATCAAATAATAATCCCAAACTACATTGATTAGTTGTATTTGTGATACTATAGATATCAATAATGTGCATTTTTTCAACCATAAATGATGCCATGCTTTCTTTCATATGTTTTGTTTTTGTTTTACCTCAAATTTATCACTCCGTTTTACTCCGTCTGAGCCTCTTTCTTCTGCTCCTGTTTCACCGTTGTCGCTTACATCATCTTTTAAATCAATATCAAATTCTTGTAATTCTTTTTCTAAATCGCTCAACGATGTTTTTCGAACGGACGTTGTTGGAGCAGCAGAAGGTTTTTGAACGGTTGTTGTAGGTGGTTTTGACGTTTGTAGCGTTGAACTTTTGATTGGAATGGTTGTTGACGAAGTAGAAGCCGCTGGAGATTGTGAACGAGAACGATCCGATGAGACTGTTGTTGATGATGGTGGGCCTGGTGGAGTCAATTTATTATTAGATGGAGCAGCGGTAGGAATATTCGTCTAAAACAAAAAACGTTTTCACTGAAAAGTAACGTTTTTTCTTACAATTGTATACCTTTGGAGGAACAACAATGTTCGCTGCAGGTGGTGCTGCTTGTTGTTTTGGTGGCGGCTGTGATGTTGTAGTTTTGGATGTTTCAGCTGGTGCATCATCAAATTCATCTTCTTCCTGTTCATCACTACCATTTTTTTGCTGCACTGGACCATAAAAGAAGTCACCATTATTTTCTGCCTCTTTCATTTCGACAATTGGATGGCGTTCCCAATTCGGCTTAAAAAAAGATAAAAGAAGTTCTAGCCACTAGACATCTTTTTACAATCTTACCGTAACTGATTGATAATCTTTGGCAGCAAATGTTTTCGTTTGTTTTTTTAAATATTGTTCTGTTTTATATGTATCAACTAAACCTGGGAATAAATTTTCATAATCTGTTGGATTCGCCAGTGCTTGTGCTGAACGTTCCATATTTGATTGTTTTAGTTTTTCACGCCATAATTGTACAATCATACCAATTTTCGACGGTAAATATGTTCGTGAGAAAAAGGCCGCTTCAGGCAAGCGATTATTATCAATTAAAATTTGTAAACATTTATCTAAATTACCCAAAACAAAACTGGCTAAAAATGACATATTAAATTGACCATTTTTTTGCGATTGTTCGCCAATTGTCGCCATCAATTGTTTATCACTACTAGCACTGGCCAGCAAAATAAGCGAACCATAGGCTTGTGCACGGTTTAAACATTCTTGTACTAACTGAAAATTACAACGTTTTGTTGCTACATCAGCTAATTGCATCCATTTTTGTTCATTTTCCATTTCTAATGCCAATTCATAACATATTTGTAAATTACCCAAATGTAATGCTAAATCAAATTTATGTTCATTGTCCATTGTAACAGCCAATGCTTGTTGACGGTAACCCTAGAAGAAGAAAAAACAAATAAACTAAACGACTCGTTGGGATTCTTCATTCTTTCTGTGAATTTCATTGAAACTAGGTCTGTTCTTGAAATAGTAATAAAGTTCCGAATTTTAGTAATTGATAAATTTGCTTGAGTGAGCTAACTAACCTGTTTTTCTAAGAAATGTGCTACACGTGTTCGTTGTTCTTTTGGCACAGTGGGTAAGACTTGATCAGCTGTTTCAAAATCTTTTCGCATCACAGCTGTTTGATATTCAAGTACGGCCAACGATAATTCAAACGAAACAATAGCCATTTCTTTATCACCCATATATAAACGATTTTCATTCGATACGTATCCTAATAAATACATGACTCTAAATGGAGAAACAAAGAGTAAAGTGAAAGAAAGGAATTGAAAAAATCCATTATGAAATATTTGATGAACCAAAGAAACTCTGATTAGATGCTGAATATCCGACAGTAAGATACTTCGAGTCTCGCTTCTATCCAACTAACTCACACCCTAGACATTTAGCTAAAACCATGAAATGTTTTCCTTACCTATCTAAATGCGAAATTGTCACAATTTCTCCTCCAACATAGTAATTAATACGATTTAAGGAATTTGTGTAAATAAAACAATCTCCAATCCACATTCCAGTTTTAACAATTTCTTGTATTTCACTTAATGCCTATTGGATAAGTAAAACATAATAATATAAGAAAGAGGTATATAATTTTGATTTGTTATTAGAACGGAATGCTATATATGATGTATGTTGTAATCACAGGGAAAATAAAGCCTCGACTGAGAATCAAATCTAGAATACTCTACTAGATAATAGCCAAGACTTTTACCCCACTAAGCTACCAAGATAAAATAAAAATGATAATTATCTATTTAGATTCATAGACATACATCAAACGCATCTTCTACACCATCATCTGACATTAGATCTTTGTTTGTTGCCGCAGCTGTCACCGCTTGTGGATTATAACGTAAAACATAATACGAGTCTTCGGTAGCTATACACACTAATTCACCATTTTGAGACCAATATATCTAAACATATTGATCGATAAAACCATGAAACAACAACAAAAACAAAATGATTACCATTTTAGGAACAATTTCAATTCGTCGTATTAAATTTGTTGTTTCCCAATCGTAAAATGATAAACCCGAATATGATTTAACACCAAGTAGCGATCCACCAAATATACCTTTGAGAGAAAAATGAAAGAACATGTTGAAAAGAAAAAGGACGTCGAAGATATTTTTAAGTGCAAAATAAATATTCTAGATGTCACACAAATAATCAATCATTCGATAAAACATATTCCCATCAAAAAAGAAAAACACCAAGAGATCTTCTTTCCATTCACGCACTTACTGGTTGATGTAGCTCCTAAAATGACAGCTCAGACAGCTAAATGAACATGGTTCTGATATTGGATAATCCATTAGGAATTCAAGCGAATGAATCTCTTTTTATCTTAAAACAATGAACTGATTGATTATTTACCTTCGGCACCACTTTCTGGTTTAAAACTTTTTTTCTCTTTAAAATTTTTGAATATTTTCACCATATTTCCATCTCGTACAGCATATTCAGACGAATCATGTGACCAAACAAATTCCATGGCGTTTCCATAACTCTTATTTCGCAATGTTATTGCTGTGTAAATAATATATTCTCCATCACCACAAACAACAACAAATCTGTCAAAAAAGAAGTGAGATTCACACGCAATAAAGAGATAGATAATAATTCGTACCGTCCATTTGGTGAATGAGATAACGTTTGTGGATATATTTCACAACTACCCATTTCTTTCACACTCAATGGCACTTTTTCACCATCTTTTAATTGTTGTTCACTACCCAATTGTTTTAAATTTACTTGTTGCATTTCACAATGTTTAGCCCAAACAATTTTGCCAGTTGATGAATCCATGGACATTGCTGGCTCTTCACGACCGAGCTAAAATAAAATATACAATATGATAAAAGATATTACACAATGATTCAATTATTTTACTTTAATCATCATTGTTCCTTCATCATAGCCTAATGCAACATTATTTGAACCTTTCAAACACGATATTGTCCAACAACGTTCTAAACCATAATTCAATGTTGATTCTAAACGATAGGTGTTAGAATGCCATAATTTAACAGTGCCATCTTCTGATCCAGATAAAATGATTGGTAATTCGGGATGGAATGATACACAACCAACATTTTGTGAATGACCTTCTAATGTTTGTACACATGTTTTATTCTATATCAGACAAAAAGAGTTACACCATAAATTATTTCAAACATAATCCTTTTCCTACTTGATAATCCCATATTTTAACAAGACGATCATCACCGCCAGAAACAAGATACGGCTTATCACCACCAGAATAATAATCAACACAATTCACACCTTTCTCATGACCTTCTAATGTAAAATTTGGTTGTGTAGACCCTAACTGCCACACCTACAAAAAGACAGGAGCAATCTAGGGTTCAGAAATCTTCGTTTTGGATTAGAAATAATAGCATTTTCTACATGTAGGTTATAATTTAAATATCCTCTTACTTTAACTGTTCTATCGAGTGATGCTGATGCAAATGTATTATTATCTTTTGGATTAATAGATATTTGCATAACATAATGAATATGTCCTTCAAACGTTTGTTTTAATGCCCATTTAGCATCCCAATCCCATAATTTAATTGTCATATCATCTATAAACAAAACGAAACGATTGTATACATTTTGAAAGTGATATAGATACTTACCACTACTGGTTAAAATGTATGGTTGTGTTGGATGTACAACAATCGAACGGATATAATCACTGTGCGCTTCAAATTGATGTAAACGTTCTAACGTATTATAATTATACACACGTACTAACATATCATCCTAAAATATCACAATGTTAAACAAATATACGCTTTCCTCAATACAATACTTACTGATGCTGTAATAGCCCAATTTTTTCTAACGACAAATTTTCCAGCACGTACAGGAACATCGCAAATTTCAAATGTTTTAATTAATTGCTACAAAAACAAACAAAATTCATTTAAGGAAACAAATAGGGGAGAAAATGTTATTTACCTGTGTATCATGATTATAAATGTGTGCATGTCCATTATAAAGTGTTACTAGTATCCATGGTTCATTTGGATGTGTATCAACACATTTAACACGATCAGACCGAACAGATAATTTTCTTTTTACATCCAAACGTAATGGCTAGAACAACCGCGGAAACTTTTATCGGTAGAACAAAAAAAAATTCTTGTTTATAACGCTTACCATTCTGCTACTAAACTTCGAAGTTAAACTAGAACAAGAATATCTAAACCAAAAAAAAGCATGAACGTTTGAGTTTATTTAAGACCAATAACTCTGAAAAAATATATCAACAGCGTTCAACGAAACTGGGCGTCATATATGAGTGTAGGTATCAAAAACTTTGCTCACTCTTGCTCCTTCGCTTGTGATTACCACGTCCGCAAAGTTTGCGTCGAAATCCGTAATTTATCAGCATCGAGCCCACAGCTAACGGACTAATGAGCACGAAGATGGCGGTGATGTACACACAAATAAAATTTAATGCTTTGCTCGTAGTATATCACACATTTCCCAAACTCTGTGTACCGGAATATATTTGTTTGCTATTTGAGAATAATTTCGAAAAGATGTCAGCACATTCAACATTCATATAAAGGTACAAATTTTCCTGACTATATGACGTATCGGTTAGCTTAACAAACATGAAAATTTCTTTGCAGGTAAATTTTCGTTTCTCTCTTGGAATCGATTCATTCAACACAACTCTTCTTCATAAATTAACTACGAAACAATTGTGAGTAACAACTACCAGTCCTTCGGTTAAACTCAGAGCGGGGCTTCAGTGAGATTACAAAGGAGCAAAATAACAGAAAAAAAGTTGTCAAAGTTGAAGTCTACTGAAATTCAATTTCGACTTATGTATTCGGTTTCTTCTCTGTCGTGTTTTTAACCATGGATAACAAAAAAGAATCAGATCTGGAGTTGAAAATGTTCATCTTTGCAATCTGAAACCTGGGGAATTCTGTACTACTAGGTGAGTATCATCTGAGATAAAAATAAATTAAGCAACTGATGTGTGCTGCTCCGGAACAACTGATAAGGCTGCGTTGAAGGAACAAAAAGTGTTCCGGGTTTATCTCTGCGATCATTCGAGACAAGCTTTGAAACCAGTTTCATTTGACCATAAGCAGAGTAACATTTGATTAATCTGAGACTCAAAATATTTTTCTATGTTCAGTTCTATGCTAGTAGTGTGGGAACTAAATGTTATTCAGTCTTCTGCAAGGCTTTTATAGACATTTGTAGGCTTCTATAGAGTTGCTGAAATTAAAAGAATTGCTAAATTATCATCCATTATTTCCTTTCAGCTCCAAATAGAAGCTCCAAAGAGAGACTACCTACTTCAGTTCGCATTGATTTTGGCCCTCTGGAGCTACTATTTGCAGCTAAAAGGAAACACCGATTCTCTTCACAGATTTATTTTGTCACTCCGAATAAACTGATTCTCATACGACAACAGTCGACCAATACAGTTCTCAAAAATAGCGTTCCATAAAGAGCTTTTCTCCAGAATTTTTTTTTTAAACACGTTTTTGTTTTATAATTTGGTTAAAATAAGATAAATTGTGAATTAAAAACTATTTCGCCGTAATAGAGATTAAAAACAGTGGAAACCACGCTAAAACATGAAAACAGTAATCGATATTTTTGACTTTTGTGATGGATAAATGAGCTTGAAAATGAAGCGGGCCAAAAAAATCTTTGTTGCTCAATAAATCAGTTTTATTGTGCTAATTCTTGTTACGTTAGAGCAGGCAGCTCTTCAGCTTCATTTCCACCTATCTAAGAAGTTTTGGTTTTGTTTTGCGTTGAGGAGAAAGAAATACTGAATGTCGTTTTCTCATTTTCAGCCATTTTGTGGCAACTGTCGTGTGCCTGTACGAGTAGTAGAACAAGCTTCTGATATGAGTAGTTGTACTACTCGAGCTGCTCTTTCATATGGTATATTAAACGTCGATTATAACTCTGGGGATGCGGCGAAAAATAAAGACAAAGTGTCTCCAATGTAAGAGAGGTGGAATTTGACACTTTTAAAAGAGTTGTAAAATATGAGTTTTTAGCGAACAAATGTAGGATTTTATGTAATTTTCTATGCTCTACACAACACCAGTATTGAAATTTTGCGACTTTCATGTCATGTAATGGTGGGAAGAAGGCGTGTGGAAATATGGCTTTTCTTCAAAATTAATAAAATATTGTTGGAGTGTAAAAATCACAAATAGTCTAAATATGTGATAAATATGACACAAACAGGTAAATAGTGGCAACATCCGGCACATAGATGAACACCATACATGCGAGATACTTCGAGAAAATAAATTTTTATTATATGCGTTCTGATCTAATTTGAAAATGTACAAGATATGCACATTTTGCAGAAGACTCACTATGAATTGAATAGTTGAATGTTCAGATAGATGGCCCATAATGTTAACAACATGAAGTCTAAATAAGCGTTTTTGATTGATGTAGAATCAGCAAATGTCTGAAAAGGTAATATCATTGGCTAAAAGACAAAATGAATGAACTTTTTTCTGGATCGTTTCAATTTCTGTCAGATAATAAATAAAACGTTGTTTCTGTTTAGCTCCAAATAGTAGCTCCAAGGAGAGACTATTTAAGTCAGTTCGGATTGATTCTGGCTTCTGGAAGCTACTGTTTGCAGTTAAAAGGAAGAACGTATAATAAAAGTTAAGAAGATCCGAAAGTTATTTTCACGACCATTCAGCTCAGAAAATTGAATCACTTGTCTGCTTGATTTATACTTAAACATGAGACTTGAGTCAAATGGTCTTTATTTCACTGGTAGTTTTGCGAACCTGCTAATTTTGGAAGTTCGTAAAACGTTTCATGAACTAAACAAAGATATGAAGGCATTCGCAGTTTTTTACAGGGATATTTTTTGCACAGAAGTTGATATTTGGTACGAAATCTACGATTAAGTGATAGCAGTTTTCATTAGTTTTAAAATTTTCTGTTTTAAACGAAAGTCAGGTCTTTGTCTAGTTTGTACTCGATGAATGTAAACGGTCTAGAGTTACATATATGTTCAGTATGTATGACGTTTGCTATGCTATCGGGAAAAAACTATCTTTGTTTTTCGTTTAAAAACGTGTATTCATGCAATTTAGAAAAAAAAATATGTTTAAGAAATTTGCAGAAAAAGACAACGTATCTAGTGTTGCTCAGTTACGAAATACGGATGTTAAACGATTGAAACAACGATTGATTCAAGATTATCCTAATATTGAATCAATATTAGATGAAATTTTACCAAAAAAAGACGCTCCGAAGCTGGTTAAATGTCAAGAACATATTGAAATTATTGCTAATTCCAGTGGTGAGGCACTGTTCTTCCGCCATCGTGACGGGCCACCCATACCCGTACTGAGAATGTTACATAAATATCCGTTTATATTACCACCACAACAAGTTGATAAAGTAGGTTGTTGTACCAATAGTAACGGTATTCTATGTAATCTTTCTATCCTTTTGAATGTTTTGTAGGGTGCAATTCGATTTGTATTATCTGGAGCAAACATCATGTGTCCCGGTTTGACATCACCAGGTGCAAAAATGACTCCACAGTCACCAAAAGATTCTATATGTGCTGTTATGGCTGAAGGTAAAGAACATGCTTTGGCTATTGGACAATTGAAGATGTCTTCCGATGATATACAACAGATAAATAAAGGAATTGGAATTGAAACATTACATTATTTGAATGATGGGCTATGGAATATAAAACCAGTTAAATAACAGCGTTTCTTTTTTCAGTTTTAGCAAAAAGCATTTCTGATCTATAAATTATTGTTATTCTTTTTTTTTTTATCTTGTTAAACATACAAACAGGTTACTTAGCAACTTTACTGACCTGACTATTACTTATATACATTTTGCAAGAGAAGATGGTATTCAAGAAAGTTTAGACAATTGTATAATGCTTTTTTTGTTCTTATAGAAGTATTTTTTATTATTTATCAAAATGACCACATTACCGACTACCGGTAATGTGGTATTAGAAAGTCATTATTTAAATAATACAAGTCGTCCAATAACGGAAAATGATTCTTATCAACAAGTGAATTTTCAAACATTTCAAATGTTGGTTGCATCAGTTATTGATCCTGTGAATAGTAAGTTTTTATGTTAATTAATTTCTATTCTTAATCTAAAATATTTCGTTTCCTTTTTACTTTTAGGTGATGACATACGATTAAAGCATGTTTTAATGATTGCCGAATATATTGATGTAAGTGTTATATTTCATCGTTTTAAATTTATGAACAAGAATATGTGCTTTTTTCAGATTTTACCATCATTACCAAATTATTTACAATATATTGATTTATTGATAAAGAATTTTTTGCGAACATTACGTGAAACTGAACCTGTATTTATTGCTCAATTACCTGCTCAGGTAATGAACATACAAAGAAAACCAGTATAAATATCTCTCTATTACTATACTCGTGTTCTAATTTTTAGCTTATTCGTAAACACATGATTGATATTTTACATCGTTTACCGACCAATGATTATTTAAGGCCACATATTAAAGATATTCTAACCGTGATGCTAAAATTAATTCAAGTAAGATTTTATCTTCAAACTAAAAAAAGATGTGATAACTGGTTTCACTTCTTGACAAACGCTTGATTGAGACGGGAACAAATAGCGTTCTAAGTCATTAGAGAAATTTGTTCACTTTTATAGACTGATAATGAAGAAAATGCTCTGTTATATTTACGAATTATTGTCGAATTAAAAAAACAATTTCGTCCCCAACTCATAACTGAAGTTAGTATTCTTATTGTTATTGCTTACAATACGATTTCTTTATATTTGTTGTTGTTTTTACTTATTAAGGTGCGAGAATTTTTACAATTTATTCATGCAGTTTATCGCCGAAAATCAATGTTATTAGATAAATTATTTTATACAAAATCTTATACGTTTTCCAATACATCGTTAAGTGATATATCGGCATCATTAGATACAATTTTAGATGAAATATTTACAACAATAACAATAACAGTGAGAAAACCAACTGTTAGTGTTGCACCAACGGCAACTGATGAACAGACAGAAACAGTGGTATGTAGAAGAGTTTTTTGTTTGTTTGTAAAAATTGTTAATATTAGTGGTAATATAGTGAAAAAGACGTTTTAAATATTCAAAATGTGCATAAAATACTTTTGAAAAATAAAAAGTTAAAAATTAATACGTTTTTTTATTTTTGTTATTTTCTAGTACACAATAATTCCACGTGCATCATACTCATTAAAAATTCTTGCCGAATATCCCATTGTTATTGTTCTTCTTTTTCAATTGTGTCGACAAGCGTTACAAACAGAATTTGGTGATCTGATACCATTATTTCTTCAATATTTAATTTTACAACCGACAAATGAACAACGGTAAACAATTATATTTCTTTATGATTTGAACACAATTTATTTTTCTGTTTTTTTATTTTAAAGAGCTCAACCAAATTTTAGTATTGACATTTATATTGATTTTTTAACAACACAAGTGAAGACATTATCATTCTTAGCTTTTGTTGGTAAACAATATCAAGTAAGTAAACCGGAAACAAACAATTCATGAACTTATTCATCATATGCCGAGATTATGATACAAATATTGCTAATTAATCAGTTTGAGAGTTTTCGAACTTTGAATCGTTATCTGAAGTGTATCAAGATAACATATCAGTAACATTTTAAATTAATGAATTTTTTTCTTACTTTTTCAGGAACAATTAGCTCAATATAGTGAAACATTGGTACTAGCATTAATTCAATTATTAGAAAATTGCCCACCTGAAAATGTTCAATTACGTAAAGATATTATTGTTGCAGCACGACATATATTATCAACAGACCTAAGAAATTGTAAATATTTTTTTTATACTTGACTATCACTAGTCTCATTCTTGGATTTGTAACATCACTACATCGTTATTTAAAGTAAATGCACTTTGAAATTCATAAATCCGATACAGATTTAAGCATAACAGATAATCTAATCAATGGCTTAGATTAGGATCTGTTTACTACAGTTCGTTTATTTTTATTCATCTTCTACAAGAAAAACCTCAATAGAACATCTGCATATATATATGCTCTCAGAGTTTTGACAGACGAATGTTAGCTTTTAGAGTAATACGTTTGTTAAGGATAAAGACTCTTAAGTTTCAGTGCAGTTTTTGTCTATTTTTTTCCTTGATGTCGTTGGTTGTAGAATCGGTAATATTAACAATTATTGTTTAATTGTTACTAATTAATTGTTGTTAATTATTGTCAAATTGTTTTCTTTTGATTAATTTTGTTGAGGCTAATTTCACGACCATCAAATAGATATTGAGACAAACTGGCGACTACAACCTTAGAAATAAAGATTTTTTTTCTTCTTCTTTTACGAGACTTTGAATCTGGTTACAAAAAACTGATTGAATTTTGATGTCTTTACAAATGACACATTATGATTGTGAAAACATATGAAACTTGATAGTCTCATATTAATCTCTAATTGTATCTTTTGTTTTGTTTTAGTGTTTATTCCACATGTGAAACGATTTTTTGATGAAAATTTACTATTAAGCACCGGTTATACTGCTCATGAAACACTAAAGTTCGTATTTATATTCTGATATACACATTTCCATAGTTTTTCATTATTATTATTTCTAGAGCATTAGCATATAATACCATAGCCGATTTTTTTCATCATATACGTCAAAGTTTAACATTTGATGATTTAGTTCAAGTTATACGTATATATTCAAAAATTATCCATGATACAACATTACCAGCATCTGTACAAATAATGTGTCTCAAATTTTTAGGAAATGTAGCAGAAACAATACGACAAAAAGCGGATAAAGAAAATCAGGTAAAATGATTAAGAGTACTAAAGAACTAGGAAAAAATGTAATTGTCTGTTTTTAGGCACGTGATCTTCTAATACGTATTGTTGAAATTCTCGTATTTAAATTTAAAGTAGTTGCCAAACAATGTTCACAATTGTATAATGAAAAAATGTAAATAAAATATAAAATTGATTAATGTATAGTAATGATTTAATATTGTAATTTTATAGATCTGCAAAATCAACATTAACAGATACAATAGTTAAAGAAGAAGTAAAACCTCTTATACAACAAAATGATTTAGATTTGGATACATGTACATTAGCTGATGTATTACAATCGATGAATGATAGTCAAACTAATAAAGAACGAGAACAACAACATTCTCGTGTTCAATCATTATCAATGTCCATAACCGATTATCGTCAATTAATTAAATGTTTAGTGAGTAGTTTACGTAATATAACATGGATATTGGTCGAAGTTAAAATTGTTCAAGATAGTGTTTTAAGTCAACCGAGACAATTTTCTCAAACAGTTACATTATTATATATCAAATTTTTTAAATATTCTCTACAATGTATTGATATATTTTCCAGTCAAATGAATACTGTTCTTCAAACTGAAATTACTTCAAATTCTCTTCAAACTTTATCAACACCATCTACTATAGTTAATCGTCAAGTTGTACCACTCTCATTATCTATTCCATCATCTTCAGCTACTCGTTCAAAAGATGAAAAAGAAATAATGGATTTAATTGCCAATGTATTTCATTTTATTCATCGTTCTAATTGTCGTGAAATATTTGAACGAATACTTCCTTATTTATATGAACGTTCAATAGAAAATTCAAATATAACATTGATACCAAATAGTCTTCTTCAACATGGAACATCCACTATACTTGTACAAGTTCTTATTGATTTTTTATTACCTCGTATGTCAGAAATTGGAGGACGAGCATCAAATGAACGTTCAAATGTTTGTCTAAAATTATTTAAATTACTTATTAATAGTGTATCAACAATTCCAAATGATAATGAAACAATTATACAGCCACATTTACAAACAATTATTCGAAAATCTATTGAATATGCACAAAAATCACAGGATCCAGTGAATTATTTTATGTTATTACGGGCACTTTTTAGAAGTATAGGTGTTGGAAATCATGAACTATTAAATCAAGAATTTTTACCATTATTACCAGATCTCTTACAACGTAAGTTTAAACAACAAGAAAAAGAATAAATCTATTTATTGTAGAACTATTCATATTCTATATTTTAGGTTTAAATGAGTATCAATCGTGTAAACATCGTCAAAATTTACGTGAATTATTTATTGAATTATGTTTAACTGTTCCTGTTCGTCTTAGTGTTTTATTACCCTATTTACCTTTATTAATGGAACCATTAGTTAGTGCTCTAAATGGTTCACAAACATTAATTTTACAAGGTTTAAGAACACTTGAATTATGTGTTGATAATTTACAACCCGACTTTTTATATAGTCATATACATCCTGTACGATCAGATTTAATGATATCACTCTATCGAATATTACACAATACAAATACAAATCATCTACAACAACAAGATCAATATAATACTAGTAATAATAATAACAATAATAACATTAATAATGTTTCACAAAATGCTTACAGAATATTAGGAAAACTTGGCGGTAATAATAGACGAATATTAAATGAATCACAACGTTTAGAATTAGATAAAGAAGAAAATGATTATAATACAAATAAAAATGTTCATGTTCATCTATTATTTGAAAATGAACAAAAACCAATTACGGTACCAATATTGAAGGTAAAAATTGAATCAATATAACAGTACTTTAATGATTAAGAGAGAGGGAGAGAGAGAGTAACTAACTGCTCTAAAGATCATATTAATTTTGTTTATTTTAACAGTTTTTAAGACTTTTTGTTAATGGAACACCGTTTGATGGACTAATGTCGCATGACGCTCAAAAATCGCATTTTGTTCACAAACTTTTACTCTACAATGAAGTTATTTACAAAAAGTTTCTCAGTTTCATTGGACGATTGAGTTTTTTTCTAAGTTTTTCATTTTTTAGAGAGTCGAATTATAAACAGTTCTGATAGAATTCTTAAATACACCCTAAACCTGATTGGAAACTCTATTTCAATTATTCAAATCTTTTCTTAGATTTGTTCTAGCTATAATGATTGACGAGAAAAAAACTATGATGGGTGAACAATTTTATGAGCCATTGTAAAAGTAGAGACATCAACTTTCACATGGAATCTCACATCATCAGCAGATAAATAATGACAAGATAAACAGAACTACTATTGTCCGACATCTAAGTTGTTCTTTCTTTCTGTTGTGGATCATGTGTCTATTAAATAAACAGTGTCACTGTTTTAAAAGAATATGTAAAATCAATCGTAATCCATAGTAGATCTGTTTATCTTGTCATTATTTACGTGTTGATAATGGGAGATTCAACATGAACGTTGATGTTTCGACTTTTATATTAATGTGTTTAATTAACAAAATAAAAAGATATGATCTTTATTTAGTAGTTAATTCATTTTTTGTTCATTTTCTTTTTTCTCCTCTCTATTGACTTTTGTCAATGATTTTGTTTCTTTAGATTCTTCAACTATGTTCTGAAACATTAAAAAGTTCAACAAATGATTTATTTGTAAAACGTAATGCTTGGTTAATTGTCAAAAATATTCTTTGTGTCATTATTACTATTGACAATGATCATGAACTTGTACAATATTTTCTTTCTCATCAAACGTAAATATTAAAAAAGAATTTTTATTTTATTTTTAAAATTATAGTCTTAAAATTACTTTTTTTATTTATTATTTAGATTTTTAAATGGAAAAATTTGTCAACAATCATCGACATGGAATAAAATTAATTCTATTATTCAACCCTATCGTTATTATCATGATTTATTATTCAAATGTTTATATCAAGCAGCAGCAATAAATAAAGATTTAGAAAATGATACATTATCAATGATAAAAGCAACTATAAGACATTATACATTAGTTTCATTAACTCAACAAACAGGTATACGAATAAAATTAAATTTTAAAATTTATCAATATTATAAAATTATTTTTTTTTTATTTTTTATTCTAGGTCCATTTGTCAGTGATATTTATGGTGAAAATCGTTTAAATGGCATGGATTGTTCTCTAATATTAATTGATAGTATTATATCCGCTTATATCCATGAAGATAATGAAATAAATGATATTGGACGTTTATCATTAGAAATATTTGTTGATACTCTATTAACAATATTAAATGGAGATTGTATACGATTATTATCATTACCAATTTGGGATTATTTTATTCAACGTATATGTCATCAAAGTCATGATCCTATATGGTTTTCAAAAAATGGTGCATGTCGAATTATTAATGAATTAACAACGAATTATTTTAAAAATAGTAATGAATTTTTACTCCGATATATTGTTCAATTTATTCGTTCATTATTTTTCATTATTCTATCATTAACAAATGAAATAACAGCTGGAACAATTGATTTAGCAACAGATGAAGTTCAACGATTATTAAAACAATGTTTTGTAGATGTAAATAATAATGAACAAAAAATTATTCGTGAAGTAATATCCGAACTTATTTCACATGTAAGTATTAGTCATATTCTTTTAATTGATTCTTTCTTCTTAGTTGTTTGTTTCTTGCATGTATTGCAAAGATGCACACTAAATTTACCAAGAAAATCTTTTCACTGGTGTCAAAAATAATAATTTTTTTTCCTGAAATCAAATACATGAAAAAGTAGTCCGTAAAAAAACTCTATTGATCTCTTTTAATTAAAAAATTTTCAAGGTACTTTTTAGTCACTGTTAGAAACACTTGCTAGAAGTCAGTGTTCTGGAAATCAACCCTTTTGTGTGCTATACGTAGTACTTTCAGCAAATGGATGACTACAAATAGAGACTAACTGAAATCGAATTTTATTTTTAAATTAATTTGTACAAAAAATGAATGAAGTGATTCAAGATTCACTTCAAAAATTGAAAAATAATTTATTAATTGATCAGTAATTGATTGGTTTTCTACCAATGTTGATCAGACAAACGATTATTTCTTCACGAAAATTGAATAAAACTGAAACGTATGGTATATTAGTCGAAAGATCGATTAATTATTCATAGTTTAAACTTATTCTTAGACGAAAAAGATAGAGGACCAGGATTTTACATTTTAGTAGAACTTTTATAGTAATGTCCCGTATTTAAAATTTTGTTTTCATACACAAAAACTTAAGTCTTCAAAATATTGTAAACATAGAAAATTTCATGTTTATTTTTCAATAGAATAAACCACAATAATGCCACTTACCGTTTGTGGATCTAGATTCGACTGTCGTTGAATAATGATTATAATTGTAGCCGGAAAATGTCTACTCCGCAGACATTCCAGCCTCCAGTTTTTAGAGTGTCCATCGGCTTGTTTCCCTATCGAAAGAAACTTTTCCATCCGCGAGACCCCATCGAAACGTTTCCTTCTCTCAGTTTTTACATTCGTGTATTGTGTGTTGATTATGTATAATTACTCTTTTTTTTATTTAGATAACTTCGCCCATAAGTTCAATTCGTGAATTGTCATTTGATTGTTTAAAAAAACTTAGTGAATATTTATCTCAACCATTGTCAATATTATTCGAACCATTTAAAATTATTTTTCATCAAAATATATTTTCTTTAAAACATTTACCATTAAAATATCAATCAATCAATTTTCAATTAGCTCTTATGGAATCGTATACATTTATTCGAACATTAGAACCAAAATTTAATCTTCTTTATTCATCACTGACACGATCCGATTTAACCACTTTTGATGATGAATTATTTAAAGATTTATCTTATTTATGTTTGACAAATGAAGATGATTTAATCAAACAGCAACCATGTTATCGTCATTCAGATGCTCAACAACTATTAACAATTAAAAAACAAGCTGTACGTACAATATGTGTATATCATGAAGCAAATGAACATCGTGAAAAAGTTTTACGTCTTATCTATAAAATGGTTACATTATCAACGGGTGAACTTCAAGAATCGGCATTTGAATGTTTTCAACAAATTTTAGCTAATCATGCTGATGCATTAAAATTACGATTTGTTGAAAATTATTTACAACAAATTACACCACTTTCACAACAACAACAAACATTAGATGGAAAATGTTTGACGTTAAATATTGCACAAGTATGCGCATATCTAGCAAAATTAGCACCACAAGCATTTGACGAGAAATTATGTGATGTATTACTGGTAAGTAAGAATTACATTGTTCATTGGCCATCATCTTCTATTGTTCTTTTTCAGAATAATGTACGAAAATTATTAGAAACAATAGTAAATACTTATCGAACAATAACAAATATAGCAAATAATACCGAATTAAAAACGTGCATTATCATTTTGGAATTATTTTCATCCTTGCCCACATGTTCACAACATTTAATTGAACAATTAACCATATTAATTTTAAGAACAGAAAAACATTTAATGATTGAAGTAGGTACTCATTTTAAGGATACTTCTTCATACCTTCCTTTGTTATCACGAAGCAGGTAGAATTTTATTAGAGCATCTCGTGAAAAAAAATAAAACGAGTATATTTTTGCTCAGACTTTTAGATATGTTTTTTTGTGAAACCAGGCTTTTTATTCTATACTCTACCGATTCCATTGAAATTCTGTCTATTCGAGCTCAAGTTTTTACCACAGGTATGAGACTACGGTGGATGAGAAATCGAAAACAGTTTCACTCTCTGTGGAGAAAAGGCTGCTGGAAAGCTAATTCGAAAGACATGGGCGTAGTCCCAGAGGTAAAATTGTGAACTCGAGCGGGCATACTGCACCTATCCATTTCGAAATAGAATGCACTTGGATATTCCTTGAATAACGTTTGAACAAAAGATGATAAAGATCTGCGTTTTTTGTCATATTGGAGGAAACACTTCATGCTACACATCTATGAAAAAATTAAAGTCCTAACATTGCCTGTAGATAGTATAGTCAAACTTTTTTTAGCTCTTCCCGCTTTAAGCTCGTCCCGGTCGAAACATTTTTTTCTATTTTTACCGACAAATAGCCTAAAGTGTCGTCTGTCGATGTATGCAAGTCTTAGACCGCTAGCTAGCATGATTCGGAAGATATAGCCATTTTGCCAGTACAGATCTATTGCAGTCCTGCTAAGTCTGATAACCACAGAACACATTCCCACATATGTAATCAATCATACTGAATAACGTGACAATGTTTGTTTTCATGTAGAAGTTCAACAGCAAATTTTTTCTCAAAATCACACTTTTTTATTCAATACCATATAATAATAGAAAGTGTATAAGTCCATCAAATCAAACCTAAAATATGTCAAATTTTCAGAACATACTTTAAATTAACTTTCTTACAAATTAGTATTCATCGAAGGTCAGAAATGTTCCAGATAAGAAATGAGAATCCTCAGAGATAAGCTGCAAAACCAATGTTAGAACTTTAATTTTTCCATAGATGTGTAGCCTTACGTGTTTCTTTCAATATGATGAAAACTGTAAATTTCTACCATCTTTTGTTCAAACATTATGCAAGAAATATCCAAGTGTATTCTATTTCAAAATGAATAGTAGTCGCCGTTTGAATCACGTTGGAACACAAAAGTCACTTTCCGGGACGATATAGACAAAATATTAATAATGTTTGAAGGACACTCGTGTACAATTGAAAGACGTCTCATTCTAATCAGTCTATAAGACTGGCTTTTTGAAAAAAGTTTGTTCTGCGGAAAAGAAAAGAAAACAATTATGACAATAAGTTTGAGTTTTTTCAGTATAAAGTGTGAGAGATAAAAATATTCCATTTGGAGTACTGAGAGTGGTCCGGAACTGTCGAAAACATTTGACTCTATTTCATACCATGTTTAACTCGAAAATTGATCTTTTATGCTTCAAGAGTGAGACGTCCTTAAGTTAAACTGGTAGAGGTGAGATGAGCCCTCCTCTTGCAAAGTAAAGTAGTTAACATCGTATAATAAAAGATGGCAATGGGATCGAAAGCTGCTGATGTGAATGACAAAACTCTGTATGTAATCGATAGCGTTGATTACAAGTCGGATATAACGTAGCAACCCATCTAATTTAATTTGTGAAAAATTTTAAAATTATTCATGAAAATTAACAAAAAGACACGTTCAATATCAAAATAAACTATGATATTGTCTAATATTCTCTTATTAGAAGATACATCGAATTTGACTTTAATCTATTGACATCTATTGTATGAATTTTTGTCATCATAAATATTATTGAATCTTTCTTTTTCAGGCTAGTAGTCCATTTCGTCCACCATTCTTACATTTATTATCTCGTCAACCTCATCTAAGTTTACAACAATTTTTTTTCGATGATATTCATATGAAAGATCCACAATGGTGTCGTCTATGTATTCAATTGGTTAAATCATCATCTACAACAAATCATAATACAAATGATGATGATCTTATACGTGTTCGTTCCTATATTCGTCTAAATCTTATTGATCGTTTTCGATTTTTATTAACTGAACATGTATCAACTATTGAAACATCATCATCTGATCAATTATCATATATAATTTGTTTTCTTATTCGTCTATTAAATCAATTAGCTAAAAATGATTTACAATGGTGGTCTCAACAACATGATTTTATTTTAATATTATTACGTCTTTGGCGAACAAAATTATTTCAATATCATTCATTATTTTTAACTGATCATTATGATTCAATGTGTTATAAAGAGCAAACATGGGTATTAAATTTATTAATGTACTATTATAAACAATATCCAGATAAAATTCATATTTTAATTGAATTAATAAGAATTTATGCAACAAATGGTGGTAATTTTGAACGTATTCCAACACCAGTTTATCCAAATAAATTTTCTGATTATCTTCAACAAATAGTAATTAAAACTTATTCTATACAATGGAAACGTGATGCATTTTCAAAATTTCTCGTATTATGTCAAGATTTAACATATCCAATTGATTGTAAAGCAGCATTTTTAGAATATGTATTAATACCCGCTTTTGCTTACGAATTTGAAAATGGACAACGAGAACAAGTTTGTGTTTTTTTGTTGTTGTTGTTTTTTTTTATTTTTTAAAAATTTATTTATTTATTTATTTTAGTTATTAGCTCCAATGAAATGTGAATTATCGGATGTTGAAGAAACGCCTGTTGAATTATTTATTCGTACAACAATGGATTCTTCAATTCTACGACATTCAAATGATAAATTTCGTATTTCATTATTACGATTTTCTTGTTTATTATTAGAATTTGCTCATGAATATATATGTGATGTTAATAATAAGTAGGCATAATATTTTTAATAAGAAAATAAAATATTTTTTTTATTTTTTTCTATTTTTGTTTTATCTAGACGTCAAGATGAAAAACTTCGTCGTTTAATGGAATGTGCCTATTCAACATTGGTTATGAATAATTTAGATCCAACATTTAAATGTCAAGCTCATTTACTTTTATGTCATATTATAGCAAAATTTGCTATTAATAAAAAAATTGTTTTACAAGTATTTCATAGTCTATTAAAATCACATGCTCTTGATGCTAAATTAATTGTTCGACAAGCTATTGATATATTGGTACCAGCATTACCATTAAGAATGGAAGATGGATATGAAATGTTAGCACATTGGACAAAAAAAATGATTACAGATGAAGGACATTCAAATGTACAATTAATACATGTTTTAACAATTGTTGTTCGACATCAACAAATTTATTATCCTGTTCGACATACACTCGTTCATTTAATTATACAATCGGCACAAAAAATAGCATCACAACCAACAGTATGTAGAAAAAAAAAATATTAAAAATTATTTAAATAAAAACAAAAAAACAAACATAAATAATAAATAATAAAAATATTTTTAGGCATCATTTGATCATCGAAAATTGGCTATTGATTTAATTGAAGTAACAATTAAATGGGAATTAAGACGACGTAATGAAGAAGAACAAAAACTTATATCAAATGATATTAAACCAATAATTAAAGAAGAAAATAAATCAACAGTAACACCGACAGCCGATCGTCCATTTAGTAAACCATTAATTGAAACATTATTTGTCTTTCTTATTCGATTGGCATGTCAATTGAGTACACCAACGTATAATCAATTATCACAACAATGTATTAAATTAATTAAAACAGCAAGAAAATTTGCATGGTCAACAGTCGATGTCAAATTAGTAACATTTGAACGATTAATACATCAAATTGTAAATAAATGTTCATTTTATTTTTATTCTTTTTGTTTGAATATTTTAGAATTATTTAGTTTTATTTTAATTTTTTAGGAATTATCTACTCCACAATATTCATCAATTGCCACAGCCATTGATATTTTGGCCTTTTTAATAACAACTTATAATTTAAGTCAAATTAAATATACCATGCGTACATTAAAACGTTTTTTAATATTGTGTGTACAAATACCACAGAATCAACGTCTATTAGAATCGATTCAAAATTTATTGAGTAAATTAATTATACAAATTCCAATTGATCCACCACCTCCAACTTCAGCCACAGCTCTTTCAACACAAATACCAACACTTCCTAATACAACATCAGTTACCGGTACATTAGCCACATTAACACCAACAATGGCAAATAATATAACTAAAGGTTGTGAAGATATTGAACCATTTTATTCTGTGATAAACAAAACAATTTTAGATAATATGAGTGGAATAACAGACAGGTAATAATCATCGTTTTAAATATGATATCATTTAAGATTAAGATCTCGTTCATATTATAAAAAGCATTTATTTTCTCAAATATGATGTAAACATTTTAGTAGATGTTTAATTAAGACAATCTTTGTAAATAATTTCTTGATGAAATTTGTAGTATGTCCAATTCTAATTATGCTCAATATAGTTGTTGGTCATGACTATGTTCTAAGAGTGATCCGTTTTTCTGACAGAATTTTATGAATTAATAAATGTGTTCAATGTCCATGTCCATGACAATAAAAAAACAACAACACAGGATATAACTAATTCTCACATAGATTGGTATTCAATTTCCATTTTTCTTGTAGTGTAAATTCTATACCAATCTGTGATAAGATGTCATGATAAATACTAATAAAAGTAGACTAACAAATAGAACCCAACTGTCTAATCGCTTTTTGAATGGAAACCAATGAACTATAGGTTATTAACAGTGCTGATATCTGAATATCATTGTCTATAAAACACTAATGGTTTTCATTCCAGACCTTTTTTGAAGAAGATATAGTCATAGTTATACCTTTACAATTGCATTGAAGCTTGCAACCGCACTTAAAAACATTCTGAAATGAAAAAAATGACTGTTTTATAGACAGCTCGGCACGCTCTACAATCTGGACGGATCAAAAAATTTGTTTGACCGGAAAAAATATTTAGCCTGGAAGACCGATTTTTCAAAACATTAATCTCCGAAGGCCCATGGACCGTACCCATAATGGTATTCGGAATCAACACTGTTGATAACCTACAGTCCACTGGT